GGGGGATTTTTAATTGCTGTGATATGATGGGGGGATTTTTAATTGCTCTGATATGATGGGGGGATTTTTAATTGCTGTGATATGATGTGGGTTTTTTTTTAAGTTCCCCTCCCCACCATATCTGAGACTCAGATTTTCCCCTCAGAACTGTGATTTAAGGGTTGGGTATTTATTATTCTAGACATATTTCTGTAGGATTCGGAATTGGTGAGAGAAAGGAGGAAGCTCCGCTGAGTTGTGCGCAGTGTTTTTTAAAAACTACTTGGACTTTGTCTTTTAGGATTTTGTTAAACACTCTGTATTAGGCTCATGCCCCACATGGGAGATCGCTGTAGTCTTCAGATGGTCCAGTTTACAATGGAATCTTGGAACCTGTACGTTCATCAGAGAGAGCTGGCTCTGTTTCAGCTTCGCTTATTTCACTTTTTTTTGTTTGTTTAAAAAAACTTTCCACTATTCCTTGGTCAAAAAAGCAGAAAGATTTAAAAATGCCCATTCCGTTTTTTTCTCTTCAGAGTTGCTGTTAGTGATAATTTTCAGGATTTTGCTGCTTTAGAATGTAGTTTCTGGGGTAAACAGCTAAATGGTGCTGGATCACCTCATTTTGCTCTGGAATCTTCATTTTTTTTCTTGTCTGTCTGACCGAACAGCTTACAGTTTTCTGGAGATCCCATGCCTTCCTGCTGTGCACGTGCCCCTCCGTCTCAGGCGTGCAGAGAGATGGGGCTGACCTGGTCCCCTCTCACTCAGCCCTCAAGGCTCAGCTTATTGGCCGGCCACATCCTCCAAGAAGTCTTCTCCAGTGATTTCTTGCCACTGCCCAGGCAGAGGAACTGCCCCCACTGGCTCTGTGTTCCTGGTGTACATCATGCATGCCACTCCTTGAATTATAAGCATATTCCTTTCTCAATTTATTTTTCTATTTCTTTTTCTTTTTCTTTCTTTTTTTTGGAGGTGGAGTTTTGCCCTTGTCGCCCAGACTGGAGTGCAATGGTTCGATCTTGGCTCACTGCAACCTCCGCCTCCCAGGTTCAAGAAATTCTCCTGCCTCAGCCTCCCGAGTAGCTGGGATTACAGGCACCTGCCACCATGCCTGGCTAATGTTTATATTTTTTAATAGAGACAGAGTTTAACCATGTTGGCCAGGCTGGTCTCAAACTCCTGGCCTCGGGTGATCCACCGGCCTCGGCCTCCGAGAGTGCTGAGATTACAGGCGTGAGCCACCGTGCCGGGCCTATTTTTCTATTGTCCTTTGAGTTCTTTACTACTGTGAGTTCTTTAAGGCAAGAAAAACGTCTTCTTTATTTCTCAGTCTTGAAGGTTCAGCTCAGTAGCTGACTTGTAGTAGGGGAAAAAGGAAGGAAGGAAGGTTTATTGGGGACTAGTATTTAACAGCACTGTTTAGATGCTTTAGATTACTATATCTGGTCAGGCACAGTGGCTCATGCCTGTAATCCCAGCACTTTGGGAGGCCAAGGTGAGTGGATCACCTGAGGTCAGGAGTTCGAGACCAGCCTGGGCAACATGGTGAAACGCCTTTTCTACTAAAAATACAAAAATTAGCCAGGTGTGGTGGCGCATACCTGTAGTCCCAGCTACTGAGGAGGCTGAGGTAGGAGAATCACTTGAACCCCGGAGACAGAGGTTGCGGTGAGACGAGATCTCGCCACTGCACTCCATCCTGGGCAACAGAGCGAGAATCTATCTCAAAAAAAAATACAAAGATACTACTATATCTTACCTAACCGTGTAACAACCCTGGGAGGTAAGTGCTGATATTCCCGTTTAATGAGGGGACTTAAACTGGAGAGTTAAATCACTTTCTGAGGTTATACACCTGGTGAGTTACAGTTAGGGTCTGTCTTTATGTCTTCCTGACTCCCAGGCTTACCATCATATTCATTAAGTACTTGTGGATTGAATGTTTTTGTCTATTTCTAGGCAAAGTTGTCCTCAATAAGTAATTTTACTACATATTTGCTTATAAACAACCTTATTTTTTCTTTCTAGAAATGGGATTTGACCGATACAAAATGGTGGTGCAAGTAGTGATTGGAGAACAAAGAGGTGAAGGAGTGTTGTGAGTAGCTGGATTTTTCCTTCTTGTTTTATTCATCTATATTACAAGGTATCTGTCCTTTTGACAATTCAGTAAGAGTGTCTTTACAAGAGTGAGGGGAGCCAGGTGCAGTGGCTCACACCTGTAATCCCAGCACTTTGGGAGGCTGAGGCGGGCGGATCACCTGAGGTCAGGAGTTCAAGACCAGCCTGGCCAACAT